GGCAGTTCTCAGCTGCCTTCGGAGCTAGACAGCAGTGAGGCAGAGGAACAGCTGGAGCCTGTTCCCGATGTGCGCATGCGCATTTCTGCCAGAAGAAAAGAACAGCTCAGAAATCAGGGTCGACTTGGGAGTAAGGCCACAGGTGGATGGTGAAGGGACCCTCCCATAGGAAGTAAAAGAGGAGTGAAAGGGGAGTGGGCTTTTGCAGGAAACAATTCGTTCATTCGTTCATTCATTTCAGGACTACGAAAATCTGTCCGTGAATCTCAGAGACTCTGTGCCAAGTCTTCCCCTTCACAGTACTGTGTTCGGAAAATATTGACATGGCAGCTTTCCAAGCTAGATAAGATTTGTTGTGTGGCCATAATTTCCCCTTTGAAAGACTGTTTGCTGGCTCCGGTCAGGTGCCGAGGTGCGGAGACAAAAGATGAACCTTGGCTTCTAGAAAAGAATGACAACAACACATTCTGCAATTCTACTCCTTTCTATTCCCCCCTCCCAGCTACTACACTAATGAAACAGCATAATGAAATAAGAGAGAGTGTGGCAGCCAAAGATCCTAAAAGGGATATAACTGCAGGCCTGACAGGCAGCCTCTCCTCAGAAGAAAAACGTTTCCTGAAAAGAGAATAACATAAAAGTTAACATAACACAATTAACCACCTCTCCCCCCCCCCAGGGGACCCTTTGCTGAATGTGAATGAGAGGAAATCACATTCATCTAATAAAAGGGGTTTTGTTGGGACCAGGAATCTGCTTCGTGCTTTTGGGGGAAGCCTAATTCAGAACAACATCTACACAACAGTGAAGGACAGAAGTTACTTTATACCAACATTTCTCAATTTTGGCAACTTTAAGACACATGGACTTCAACTCCTGGTGGAGAATTCTAGGAGCTGAAGTTCACATGTCTTACAATTAGTCCTTGAATTGTGACCATCATTGAGCCCCCCAAACTTGTTCAGTGAGTTTGGCTCCATTTTCCAATCTTTTGTGCCTTCCAGATGCTGCTGAACTACATTTCCCAGCATCCTCTGCTATCGCTAGGATTGCTAAGAGCGATTGATCCAAAGGTCACAAACTCCTTTGGATCCAAATATTTACTTTCTAGGCCTTTAGAACCACCACTGCCAGATCACAGTGGCCAACTAGCAACCCTGAACTCAGCATAGAATCATTAAAGAGGACGCAAATGGAAGGACAAAAATGAAATGTGAATAACCCAAAATTAAAATAGTTTTAAAATTATTTTAGAATAGAATAGAATAACAGAATTGGAAGGGACCTTGGAGGTCTTCTAGTCCAACCCCCTGCTTAGGCAGGAAACCCTACACCACTTCAGACAAATGGCTATCCAACATCTTCTTAAAAACTTTCAGTGTTGGGGCATTCACAACTTCTGGAGGCAACTTCTGTTCCACCGATTAATTGTTCTAACTATCAGGAAATTCCTCCTCAGTTCTAAGTTGCTTCTCTCCTTGATTAGTTTCCGCCCACTGCTTCTTGTCCTGCCCTCAGGTTCCTTGGAGAATAGTTTGGCTCCCTCTTCTTCGTGGCAATCCCCCGAGATATTGGATGATATTGGATTAAATGATTAAATTGAACTATTGAATTGTCCCATGCCGAGTTGTCTCATGGAGAGTCGGCTGTGGTAAGTTGGCCGTGGCGGATCGGCCACAGCAAGTTGTCCCATTCTGTTTAGAGCTGGGGTCTCCAACCTTGTAAAACTTGCGAACTTAGACTCCCACGATTCCTCAGCCAGCATGACTGGCTAGGGAATTCTGGGAGCTGAAGTCCAGAGATCTTAAATATTATCCCTCTAAAACATTCGCCATGCTGCCTGGGGGAATTCTGGGAGTTGAAGTCTACAAGTCTTAAAGTTGCCAAGTTTGGAGACAGTTGCTTTCAGAGAGGCATTTCCCCCCCCCTCCCCACCCCAGACATACCTGGTCTTCCTCCAAATGATTGTCCTCCCTGGTAGAGTACTTCCTTTTAATTGTTCCATCTGCAGCCTGCTTCAGTGAGGTTTCTTGGCAAAGTAGCATTAATCTGCAGTAAATCGTTTGGACGAAGGGCCAGCCAAGTTTCTTACCCCTTTGAACCAATGGAATTACCTTAGTTAGTAAACCAAAGCGTAACTTTTTGGGGTATCTGTTGGTTCTGCAGTGGTCTGGCAGAAATCTCTGGCTGGAGATTCTTCAACAAAAAATAAGGATACAGGTAGTCCTTGACATACAACCATTTGTGGTACCGTCGTAACTGTCCCCAGGGTCACCATTGGTAGCCTAGACAAGCAAAGTCAATGAAGGAAGTTGGATTCGCTTAACATCCCTAGTTCCTTAATGTCGCCTAACTTGGGACAGTGCAACTGTCACAAATACAGCTAATCTTCAACTTACGACCACAATGGGCCCAAAATTTCTGCTGTTAAGCAAGACATTGGTTAAGTGAGTTTTGCCGCATTTCACGATATTTCATGCCACAGTTGTTAAGTGAATCACTGCAGTTCGTAAGTTAGTAGCACAGTTGTTAAGTGAATCTGGTTTCCGCCTTGAATTTGCTTTTCGGAAGGTGGCAAAAGGGGATCACATGATCCTGGGACACTGCAACCGTCATAAATGTGAGACAGTTGGCAAGCATCTGAATTTCGATCACATGATTGTGGTTAGAACTGTGAAAAATGGTCATAAGTCACTTTTTTGTGTGCCATTATAACTTTGAACGGTCACTGAACGAATTGTTGTAAGTCGAGGACTACTTCTATATGCCAGTTCGCAATCCCCCAAATTTTGATGCAGTGACTTTAGGGATGCTGCAAGGGCTATCAGTGTGGAAACTGGTTGTCAGTCGCTTTTTTAAAGTGCCGTTGTAACTTTGAACGGTCACTAAACAAGGACTACTTGTACTGAACAAAAGACTTCCTAACTTTCCCCCAAACTTGTTGAAGTCCCTGCCTCCTTCTTCTCCACTCTGTTGGCTCCCATCTCTAATTATTTATTTTTATTGATTGATTGATTACATTTATATACTGCCTATCTCACCAATAAGGTGACTCTATCAATTAATGAGATTTAAATGTTCTAACACGAGGGTCCAATTTTGGCAGTTTTAAGACCTGCAGACTTCCGAGAACTCCCAGAATTCCTCAATTATCATGGCCGGCTGAAGAATTCTGGGAGTTGAAGTCCACAGATTGGATACCTTTGTAAACCATAGACATTTCAGAGAAAAAATAATAATTCCTTTCAGTTCAGTTCATTTGCGATCCTGGGAGAAATTCCTTCAAAAACTAAACTGAGAAATATATCCAGTTAGTGTTAACTGGCTCAGAAATCAGCATTCTGTATATATTCAGCCGCAGAATATTTTTCTGCCAACTTTTTAAAGCCACTTCAAAATCCAGCTGCACCGTGCTGAATATATATTTCTTTAAAACATGGTAAATATCATAAATCCCACAAAATTAGAAAGTTGCCCAGTAGATGGATTTGGCTTTTTTAAGATCTGATAAACCAAATTGATCAATCCATTTTTTCCCCTCTTCCATAAATATTCGTGATCTTTTGGTAGTCTCCTTGCAAAATTAATTTTGCTTTTTGGGGAAGCCTTAATTTGCAATACTGGTAGTCCTTGACTTACGACCACAATTCAGCTCAAAACTTCTGCTGCTAAGCGAAACATTTATTAAGTGAATCCTGCCCATTATACAATCTTTCGCAGCTGTTAAAGGAATCACTGCGGTTATTAAGTTAGTAACACGGTTTTTACCTTAATCTGGCTTCCCCAGTGACTTTGCTCATCCCCAGGGTCATGTTGTTGCAAAAAATGACAGGCGTTAGACTTCTCAGGATACAGGAAAAGTTTATTTGGCAGCCAGGTTCAGAANTAGCTTGACTCCCTCTTCTTTGTGGCAACCCCTGAGATATTGGAAGACTGCTATCATGTCTCCCCTAGTCCTTCTTTCTATTATTAAACTAGACATTCCCAGTTCCTGCAACCGTTCTTCATATGTTTTAGTCTCCAGTCTCCTAATCATCTTTGTTGCTCTCCTCTGCACTCTTTCTAGAGTCTCCACATCTTTTCCACATCGTGGCGACCAAAACTGAATGCAGGATTCCACGTGTGGCCTTACCAAGGCGTTATAAAGTGTTAACACTTCACGTGATCTTGATTCTATCCCTCTGTTTATGCAGCCTAGAACTGTGTTGGCTTTTTTGAATTGAGCTCATAATTTCTATTGCTAAGCAAGAGAGTTGTGAAGTGATTCCACCCCCCACCCCCCATTTTACAGTTGCCACAGTTGTAAATTGTGAATGAACGGAATTCACAATCGTGTAAATAAAAGAGGTTTTGCCAGGACCAAGACTCTGCTTCATGCTTTCTAAGGAAGCCTGGGACAGAAACACTTGGAAACTCTCGTCTCAATAGCCTCCTCTCATTCTAAGTCTAGGTTCGTGTCACCATGGTTAATTGAGAAATCACAAATGACTTGGCTGGTCTCCTCCGTTCAAAAAAACAAATCAGGGATTTCAAACCACAGCGGCTGAATTTCCACATGGGGCTCAGCCAAAGACCTCTCCAAAACTTGGTTTAGAAATATGTGGGAATCCAGCCAAACTAAACCAATTTACTTAAGTTCCTTATCTGCCTTTTCCAAGATAATGTTAATTTCCTCTGATAGACAGCTGGGCCATAGAGCTGACTCAGAACCGCTGCATTTAGCAGCTGGAATTGTGCCCAGCTGAACCAAAAATAGTGGTTAAAGTCACCCAGCTACAAACTGGGAGACAATGAGTTCTAGTCCTCCTGCCTTAGACAGAACATTGGAAGCAGTGGTGGGATTCAAGTAATTTAACAACCGGTCCTCTGCCCTAATGACCAGCTGGGTAGGCATGGCTTGGTGGTCTTGTGCCATTGTGCCAGCTGCCCAGTGGTGTAGGATCTCCAGCCTGGGCAGTGGATGCTTGGACTAATGACCTACAAGGTCCTTTCTAAATATGTTAATCTGTTAATTTAAGAGAGAGTTTGGGGAAGCTGCCATTAAGGAGAGGAGGAAGGAGGAAGCCATCGGGCTTGGGGAAGGCTGACACCAAGCTAACCGAGATCCAGGGGGTAATTTTTCTCACCAACCCTTTAAGGAGAGTTGCAGCGTCCTCATTCTCCGGGATCAACCTCATCATCCCACAGTTCTCCAGGGCCAGCCTCTCCAGCAAGTGTTGGTCGACGTCATTCCCGATGCCGATAGTGAAGGTGCAGAACCTGCCGCGAATGGCTTCCTTGAGGTTGTGGACGATCTTGCTCGTCTGGGTCTCGCCCATCGTGGGCCGCCCATCGGTCAGGAACACCAGGATGGAGGTGCTGCGCGACTCCGCTTCGTTCTGGGTGATGTAATCGTTGAGGATTTTTGCGCTGGTCTGAAGAGCATCGTTGATATTGGTACCTGCGACAATACCGTGGAGATAGATGAGGTGGTAGGTAGGCCGGAGGGGTCCAATTTTCATCCACTAGCTTAGAGGTGAACAACCTTGGCAACTTTAAGGCCTGTGGACTTCAACTCCCAGAATTCCCCAGCCAGGAATCCTGGGAGTTGAAGTCCACACGTCTTAAAGTTGCCGAGATGGACACCCCTGTACTAGATCTTTAGATAAGATTGCGAAGTTGATCTTATCCAGCTGTATTTAGACTTTTTTTTTTTAAAGAAATATCCAAATTGACTACAACAGGAGACAAGATTCCATGCCTTGGGATTGCCCACCATACAAGGCATGTACAAAAAGAGAAAAGGTCAAAAAACATGAGGCAGACCCAGAAGAAGATTTTCAGCACCATTACACCAAATAACAATGGCTGAGGCTGCTAGGAAAGTAAAAACAAGAGGCTTATACCTCCCAGAGGGGGAGGGGGATGAGGAGGGGAAGAGGAGAAGAAGGAGGAGAAGGAGAAGAAGGGGAAGGAGGAGGAGGAGGAGGAGGAGGAGGAGGAGG